GGTAAAAGGTGGTAATATATAAGAGAAAGATTGCATATAGAGATGTTGTTGTATTGTATAAATCATCTTGTTCAATAAACATAACATTAACAATATACATATAATTACAATATAATTGTAGATTTTTGCAGAAAACAAAAAATTTAAAAAAAAAACACAGAAATGAGATGGTGAAGAAGATTTGTAACTCAGGTGGATGATTTTTGTGGAGTTTTGTTCTCTGAGCTGGATCTATCCATCTCAGCTAAGAGAACAAAACTCCATCAGCACAGAAATGAAAAAAAGCAGTTTAATTGAATCATTTCCTTCCAAATCTTACAATATTAATTAATCAGTATTAAGAGAAGGTAGTATTTCGTAGGAAATTTTTTTGTTTAATTTCAGTTAAGGAGTGACATTAGAATTCCATCCATATTTCAGATACTATAAAAACGTCTAAGAACAATAAGAGTTGCATTAATGAGATAAAATTAGATTAACTAGGTTAGTTCTTGAACAAGAATATCGCTAAAAGGTTTAAATCCCCAAAATGCACTGGAAATGGCGAGGTTGGTTTCATATGGACAAGCATATATAGCCACTACCAAATATGTCCTGCTCATTCCCTCAAGGCACAGGACTTTTCAAAATTGAGAGGACAAAAAGCAAATTTCCAGTGATTGAACCGGGTTGGTGAGTACGGAACACTTACCAAGAGGAGTTGAAAAACCCTGGTTCCAAACCAATGCTCCATATAGGCTACAGGACCCTGAGGGACCAAACGAGATATGAACTTATTCCTCGTCACCACCTCCTTCCATGAGATCGTATGGCCTAACGTTGTTCAACTGCTCCGTAGATTAAGGCCCGAGATCAGGCTTGGGGGTGGACTCCCAAGAAAACCGCCTGCTTCGGTTTGGACACCTGGCCAGTATTCCAACCCACACGCAAATTTAGTGTGGTGCATATATATTTTGGTACAACTTCGCACCAATACTTAAGTGTTTAAATAAATAAATACAAGATTCGGAAAAATAGTTCAAAAACCGAGATCTGTAAATATCCACAGATCAGCAACCTTCAATTATCCTTTTGGGTATACCTACAACTACAACATTTTACTTTATTTTAATCGGTAGAAACCACGTTTTTGTCTATTTGACCAATGAAAAGTCAGTCAGACAGTCAGTAAAAACGTGGAACTTCGTACGTATCTACATCAGTTCGAGTTGCCATACCACATTACAACAGAGATGCAGTTGTCCATTCAAATCCCGTAGTGGTAGAGGTAATAAGAGTATAAGCAGTAATCGGAAAGATTAGGGTTTGAACATGTTATTCAAGGAGTATAATCCAGTGAAATAAATTTGGAAAGAGAAAAACAAAAGGGACATAGAGAATACAGAAGATTAGAATTTGGGAGAACACAAAGAGTGGATGCACCTGTGCCATTGCAAACGATTTCGAGCCATTTCACTTAAGGTCTCTAACCATCGGTTGCTATCGTTTCGCGGATCCCAGCCAGGTAGTCTATACTTACTAACATGGCTCAGTCCACTTGCCAGTGACTTCATGGATTTGTGCCATGTGTTGTTCTGGCCGCCCCTAGCTTTCTTCCAACCTATTCCTACACTATAAAACATAGCTCGTCGAGACAGTCGGTGGTTGAAACGAACACAGAACTATAAAACGGGAAACTAAGATGGAGAAAACGAGAAGATATAGATTCCAATTTATAAATAACTTACCTCAAACAAATTGTGGAAGGTAAATTTAGTATTTAGATAAAATCTAGTTTTAAAATTAAATTCGTAGAATCTGAACTGACATAAAAGAATGAATAGTAGAGGTAAACGACAATAAAATTTTCAATAATCTTGTAAAATAATAAGCATCCTGTAGAGTTCGGACAGAAATATGTTACTTAATATCGTTTCTGATGTAAACAGGTCATACAAACAACAGAATGAATCTAATGTAGCAAAATTTTATTTTCTATCTACTCTTGAAAAGATTAATTTCTAAAGGTGAATAAAATTATTTCAACAAAATCATCCAAAACATTACAAGGTATTGAACATAATTAGAATATTATGCATTTGGTTTACTCTATAATTTTGCAGTGACTAAGTGATTCATTCGCCAGGTAAAGTTTTGTATATCTGGCTTGAATATTTATATCCCCTCCCTAAAAATGACTGAAGTGTCCTAGCTTCGATGAACTAGTGTATGATTGATATTACGTCCATTTTCATTTATAATTTATTGAAATAAAAAAACTTTGATCCTAAGGGTTCGCATGACTACATCACAATGATTCAGGGACGATATGACAAATGTAAAATCTAAGTAAGACGTGATTTCTACTGCAATTATACGACTTTTTTAAATGCTTCTAAAATTGATTACTTGTTAGTAGGCAAATTTGCAAAAGGAAAAATACAACTATCTAGTAGAAGCATAAATGACAACCGGCCGCTAAAAACTGTATTTCGGGATCGATTACGATTATTTCTATGATAAGCTCTTAGGCTGACACACATTTACTGCTTTTCAACCTTAAAGGTAAATTTTTCAGTACCAGTTTAGTCAAAATCTCTACTAAATTTATGAGCAAACTAACATTGAATACCAACGTCAAAAACAATCCCCAGATATACTAGAATATTTTAGAGATTACTAAGCACTATTTCGTCCACTGCATGCAGCATTAAACAATACAGCATAAAGACTTTCCCAGAGCTTTCAATATGCTCTATTGATAAATAACCCTAACAGTATAAAAACACATAATATATTAATATCATAGAGTTGTATATAAGACATTGAAATATCGAAAATAAACAAACAACTACAGACATTCTAACATGAAATTTATGAACAAGAACACTTCTTTAGTAGATGAAAATAAGTTTTATTTTTATGAGAGTATCTCTGTATCTATGGTTAAATTTGTTAGATGACAAAATTACTTTCAATATAGTGCTTATGATTTACAATAATGTCTATCCAAGTGAAATGAGAAATTATGACATCGAATATGATTGGGATTGATTTGTGCATATAAAGTAATACTCAAGTAGACTTTTTCTTGTAATCTTTAATAGCAGCCTGGATAGCATCTTCGGCAAGCACTAAATATCAAACAGAAAAATAAGAGAAAATACTCAAACCAAAGAAAATTTTAAAAACAGCGAAGCAAGAATGCGTAAACACCAATATATATATATATATATATATATATATATATATATATATATATATATATATATATATATATATATATATATGAACTACCAAGATCAATTTTCAACTATGTCAACTTGAACTATAGCTTACATCTACCCTACACTGATCAAATAGATAATCAACTGTTTCATAAACTGGTGCCAAGTCTCGGTTTGTCAGTTTTAAATCTTCTAAAGTTACTCATATCCCAGTCAACATTACACGTTGAAATAGACAGCAAATATACATATTTTTAATAAATCCAAGCTACCTAAGTTGATGGAGATTTACAGAACTCGAATTTAGTGAGTAATAAAGATTTCACCAACTTTGAAACTTAATTAGCCTTGAACAATAGAAACATTTTTTTGATAAATTTGCAACAATGTACCATTTTTGAATTGTCTTAGGATGAAGAGATAGAGATTTAACTCCAAAGAACAGGTATTGTTATAATAAACTCAAAGTAATGCAAAGTTTACTTCGTCCTCATTTTTTTACACACACCACAAGCTATAGAGATTCGAGCTAACAATCCAATTCATAAAATTTACTGAGGTTGTGCTACTTATTTGTATGTTTTGTAAAGAAACGCTACATTTAGAATAGGTTAACAAATAATGAACGTAAAATTAATTGGTGCCGACTTACTAGAACAGTGCAATTTGACAGGTGGAAGTTTTAGTTCTTTGGCAATATCACTATTTTTTATTTTTGCAGCTTCATCAATTGTTTTGCCTTTAACCCATTCAGTTGCCAGTGAACTGGATGCGATTGCGGAACCACAACCAAATGTTTTAAACTTTGCATCTATTATTTTCCCATTTTCATCTACCTGAAATTAAAAGAAATGCACCAAGAATATATTTTTACGTGTGAAAATGAGATTAAAAAGAGAGAGAATAGTCAAAATACCTGGCATCTCACTACTGTTTAAACATATATATAAATTTTACAGAAATATAGTACATAGTTATTAGATTTAAAATGTGAGGTTCGAATATCCCATTTTTGTTTAGACAACGGTTTAAACTTGAAAAATAAATCTATAACAGTACCTGCCCTTCGTTGCTGATCATTAACTCCACACAAGTTTACAAAAATTAACACTGAGATATAGATGAATCTTTGTCTTTTCATCTGATAGTCAACCTTCTACTTCCCTGTTTTTACAGTCTGACAAAAGGATCAGCAATGTTGGGATCTTTAGGAATTATTATGAATTATTTAAAAAGGATACCAATGGAGACAAGTACTCTGAAGAACTATTCCTCATTACATCAAAAAGCATACATCTTGGTGACGTAAGTCATACTTATGTAGTAAGTCTTGTTTGAAGTATAAATTTGAAAGTGATCATTATCATCATTATAAAATCAAATCTACTTAGCAAATACCTAAAACTGATGAATGTTGGGCGATTATTTCTGACTGAACTACCTCAGTTGTGATTTAGGAAAAAACTACTTCTACAGAACACAGGAAGATATGCAAGTAGCATATCATGGTTCATGTAATAACCTATAAATACATACTTAAAAATAGTTTCGCCTAGAATGGATGCCTTACCTTTATTTGGAGCTTCATAACATCTCCACAGGCCGGTGCACCAACCAAACCAGTACCGACAGACATGTCTTTCTTATCGAATGAGCCTACATTACGAGGGTTCTCATAATGATCTATGACATTCTTGTGATACGCCAAAGCATGCTGTTTTATACATTTTGTAATAGCTGACTGGCATATACCGAAACGAGAAGAAATCATCGTGTAAGTTCGTCAATTGACCACTATTGTATACAGCACTAAAAAAAAAACACAAACTAAGTACTGAAAATCAACACAAAAAATGAGGGAGCAAGAGTTATTTGCTGAGATTAAAATACCGAAAAACCTCAAAACGTAGTAAAAAATCCCGCACACAAACTATAACCTCTTTTAATTCACTTGATATGGTTTTTACTTGAATCTTCCCATTGATGTTTTAGGACTGAAATTGATCAGTCTCTTATTGGCATATGTGCATACTGTGCGTATGCTTCGATATTGCCTTAATTTACAAGCATTATAAGCAAAGATGGATAGTGGCTAGCAGTAGAATCCAGGACGCGCGTTTCGTCCTGTTTGGGACTCGTCAGCTGAATGTACCTGCATCTCAGAGTTGATGTTCACTCTGGGACTCGAACTCAGTACCGTTCGCTTCAAACGGTACATTCAGCTGACGAGTCCCAAACAGGACGAAACGCGCGTCGTGGATTCCACTGCTAGCCACTATCCATCTTTGCTTATAATCTCTTTTGTTGGGATAAATTAGAGAAGTTGAAGTTATCTGTCTTAAAAATTCATAAAACGTAAAATAATCGTACGTGAAACAAGAACTTTTGAATAAAACTACTGAGTCAATGCTGGTGATGTCATCAGCTACCGAGGTATTGTATTTAAGCAACTAATTGTAATAAGAATGACTGAATAAAGTATATGATGAACGACTGCATCTATGTTATGAGTAAAAGTGATTGATAGTGAGACGTAATATGGTAAATTTACCTCTTATGAAAGTCAGTAAGTAACTACCATGTAACTTTGGGGACATTCTTGTTTACTCAGTAAAATAGACAATTGTTACCATGAGATTATCTTACATTACGTTAGTGAATGCATCAAAACTGGAGACTAATTCTCACCATTATTTTCGATAAATAATATTTATAATTATTGCCAAGGTTTGCCAACAAAAGTAAATCAATGATCGAATTCTGTTCGTCATTATCAGGAACTAAACAAACACGACGATGATTAACACTCAGTGATAGACAAATGTAAATATATTAGTCCAGCAGGGGGGCCATCAGAGAAGTAAATAGCTCGTAGGTAATTTTTCTAACTAGCACAGGTTGACTAAGGGTTCGGATCAAGAAAAGAGTAATATTTTCCTCAGAATTTCAAAGACCTTACCGATAAGTCTAAATTAGCAAGAAACATGGGCTCAGAAATTCTTCCTGATAGTCTTTAGTCAAGTAGGCCCCCGAATGTCCTGGTACGGCCGAGAGTCCGCTCTCCCTCTCGAAATATTCTCACACGGCCGCGCGTATACAGCCTCTACCAGGGAAGTCCTACTCATTGCCTTCTCGTGGCGGGGGTGTTGTTTACGAAAATGAGAGGACGAAAAGCGAATGTCCGGTGCTTTAATCGGATTCCAAATCAATGGTGCACATGGCTCCAGTATCCTGCGGGAACAAATGGCGAATGAACCAATTGTTGGTCACCGTCTTCCATGGGACTGCATCTCCTTACGATGCTCCACTGCCTTGTGGATCAGACCTTCAGGTCGAAGGCTCGGGGTGTGGCCCCCTAAGAAAACCACCTGCTTCGGTTTGGGCACCCGGACAGTATCACAGCCCTCACACATATCGAATGAGATTTGTGTGGCGCATATGTATTTGGTGCCTCTTTGTACAAATATCTGTGTGTTGAAATAAATAAATACTATGTCTATGGAAACTACTTTTCTCGCTTCGAAAAACAATCAATTGATTCAAATTATCATTACTAATATTGTCATTATTAACACTATTATTATTATTACTATTATTGTCATTGTTATTATTATTATTATCCACATTATTCACCCTCTTTTATACTTATACAGCGGCTCGTCTTTGGTGGAAATTCGACTGTATCTAAACGTTTTCAAGTCACTGTCCGGTTGAAAATTGTATGTTACCACCGAAGATGAGTACTGAAGCAGTTTTTCTGAAACCACGTGCACCATTCAAACTGGCTGCCTTCAACGCTCGCACACTTATGCAGATTGGTCAACAGATAAAGCTGGCTATGTCTTTGGAAAGTCTTCATATCGATGTCTGCTGTCTATCCGAGACCCGTATTCAAGAATCTGGTGAAGTACTACAAATTCGCTCTACATGTCACTTCAAAAAGCTTGTTTTACGTGCGATTATCCGGGGACCCTGTGGCAGCTTCGTCTGGTCTTGCTGGCGTTAGTGTCGCACTAAGCGCTAGATCTGAGGCAGCACTAATCGATTGGATCCCTATTAACAGTCGGTTGTGTGCTGTTAGATTAGAAATTTCCATCAAAGTGAGAAGAAATCGGCGTGAGAAACGATGTCTTTTCGTCATATCCGCCTATGCCCCGACAGATTGCGGCCCAGATGCAATCAAGGATGAGTTTTGCCACCAGTTATCTGTTCTTCTCCAGAAAGTGCTTTCGACAGATATTGTAGTACTAGCCGGAGACTTGAATGCTCAGGTCGGGCGTCTAGGCACAGAAGAGAGTCTTTTAGGTGGCCGATGGGGACTCGTTGGTCGCAGGTCAGATAACGGGGACCGTCTACTGCAACTTTGCACAGACCACAACCTGTTTCTGGCTAGCACTAACTTTCCGCACAGTCATCGCCGATGTGCCACCTGGCGTCCTCCCTCTGCATCCCAAGCCTGGACTCAGATTGATCACATCGCGATCAGCTTCCGCTGGCGTGGTTGTGTAAAAGACTGCCGCTCCTTTTGGAGTACCTACCTGGACTCTGACCATGCCTTGGTCTGCGCCAATCTTGCCTTGCTTTTCAGTGGACAACGAAGTGACCGCCATCAACGGATTGATATTAGCAAGCTGGTCGCAACTTCTGTTGCAAGTAAGTATTGAACCAAGCTAGTTTCTAGGCTAGCTACCACGATGATGGGATGCCAATCACTAACATCCATCGATGTCTTGGGCGATGGGCAGAATTTTTCGAAGGGCAGTTCAACTGGCCTACTGCTCCGGCAACATCGGCCAGACTGTCCTGCCCTCCATGGCCAGTGACGACTGATCCACCAAACGAGGAGGAAGTCCGCAAGGAACTCCAACTCTTGAAGCGTTACAAATCACCTGGCACAGATGACTTACCTCCGGCTCTTTTTAAAGATGGTAGTGACTTTCTGACTAAGGAATTGACGACGTTGTTTACAAAGGTTTGGGAGCTAGAGAGTGTACCAACGTCATGGAATGAGTCAATAGTTGTCCCTATCTTCGAAAAGGGTTCACGTCGTTCCTGTAACAACTATCGGGGATAAGTCTACTTCCGATTGCGTCCAAGCTATTGGCTTCCGTCATACTTCGTAGGTTGTTCAAAACCCGAGAAAGATTGACTCGCGAGGAGCAGGCTGGGTTTCGTTCTGGTCGAGGATGTATTGATCATATCTTCACCCTCTGCCAAATGTTAGAACACCGCCATACTTATCAAAGGCCAACAATCGTAGTGTTTCTTGACATCAGGGCTGCCTTCGATTCGTTGGACAGGACTGTTCTCTGGGATTGTCTATTGAAGAAGGGTGTGCCTGAGAAGTTTATTAACATCCTGAAAGCCCTATATACAAACACCTCAGGCAGAGTGAGGGCATACAACCACCTCTCTCCATTGTTCTATACGAGTAGTGGGGTTAGACAGGGTTGCCCAATCTCACCATTCCTCTTCAACTTTGCCATCGATGACATTCTGGAAACAGCTCTGATGAATGTAAGTAATGGTGGTGTGGATCTGTTGCCTGGAGAAAGACTTCTCGACCTTGAGTATGCGGACGATATTGTCTTACTGTGCCATAATGCCCAAGGCATGCAATCCGCACTTAATCAGTTGGCAATCAGTGTCCGTAGGTATGGTATGTGCTTTGCACCTTCGAAGTGCAAAGTACTTCTACAAGACTGGCAGGATCCTAATCCTGTACTCACCCTGGATGGTGAGCAGATAGACGTAGTCGAGAAGTTCGTGTATCTGGGTAGCTGCATAAGTGCTGGTGGGGATGTGAGTGATGAGATCAATGCACGTATAGTGAAAGCCAGAGCGGCTTATGCCAATCTGGGCCACCTTTGGCGCCTTCGTAATGTTAGTCTGGCTGTAAAAGGTCGGATCTACAACGCGTCGGTGAGAGCAGTTTTGCTCTATGCTTGTGAAACCTGGCCTCTCCAAGTTAAAGACGTTAGACGACTCTCTGTGTTCGATCATCGCTGTCTCCGAAGGATTGCTGACATTCAGTGGCAACACCATGTCAGTAATGCAGAGGTTCGGCATCGTGTGTTCGGGCACAGAGATGATAATTCAATTGGTGTCACTATCTTAAAACACCGACTTCGGTGACTTGGATATGTTCTCCGAATGTCGTCCCCGAGAATTCCACGTCGTGCATTATTTGCTGACTCTGGGACTGGATGGAAAAAGCGGAGAGGTGGTCAGTGCATGACATGGTGTCGTGGCATGAAAGAAAGCTGCAAAGGACTGGCTTGTGTTGGTCCTTCATGACTCCCTGGTTGGGGTCTGAGAGATGGTGCTACACAGCGGCTACAGACGTTATCAGATATGGCTCAGAATAGAAGCCAGTGGCGATCCTGTTGTAACCTTCTTTTACTTTCTTCATAAAAAGTGGTTGTGTCTCCCTTACCTGAAAGATTTTTTTCCGATTGCACCTTTCCGTTCACTAATTACTACCACACTACCTTACACCAAACTCTTCGTTATTGTTCTCTTTTTTTGCTCTCCTTAGCTTTTTTCTATTTCTCTTCGAATTCTCATTGTTTTGTGTGGCGCATATATATTGGCGATCTCTTGTACCAATATTCATGTGTTCAAATAAAATAAAAAAGTCAAGTAGTATCAAGGTACGAAAGATGTGCTTTGCGATCAGATTATGAGTTATCAACTTAACTGCTGGGAAACAAAGATACAACTCGAAAACCACACACAGATCTGTGCAATAAATAAAACCTAGATGAATAATAATATTCCATAGCTATGAAAATTATTGTTGATACCCTACAGGTTTTTAGTCACCAAGTATAAAGTCGCATTACCCAAGGCCTGGTAGATAACGCAAGAATTCGACAATCCGCTACAGTTTATTAACAATTTGGAAACTGGCGATCCAGGCTGATTTCAAGCTCCTTAATCTCTATACTATGATCAGTACTACCAAAAATTCTGACAAACAGACATAACGGCGAAAAAAAACAGTGAAAATAGGAGTAAATAAAGATATGGATAAGATTAACCATAAGTGAGGTAAAGTTTAAATCCTATATCGTTAATATTTCTTAACGATATTTTGATGTCTGACTGACTAAATTTCGAAAGACATTTTTACCCAAAATCATAACATTCTAAAATAATTCCGACTGCTCTTAGTGCTATAACTTGACGAACTGGCGCATCGGTCATCCGAATCCTACATCTCACTGGGATAGGTGTTAGTAATAGTCTTGTGCTAGACGAAAAGTGTCACCAAAATGAACCTAACCTTTGGAGGAAATCCTTCAAACTTGTCACTGTTTATTCCACTGGCCTCAACAAAATGAACGGTGAATGTGGTGATTCGCTTCTACCCAGAAGGTACTTTGTGTACCAAAGGAACATGCAGAGTAGCATGTGAGGACTACAAAGGTGTGTCGAAAATCCAACAAATGCATGAAATGCAATTACACTTAAAACCGAAAGTAATCGACAACAATCAGCAGTGACACAAGCTTCACATTAAGATGGTCATGGAATCGAGACTCAAAGCAGTTAGTTTAGCCGACTAACCTTCCGATTTCAGTGTATCCCTAAAAACGCATTTTTAGACCGAAGGAAATTTTGAGGTTATTAGCCTCATTTTTTTGAAAGCATACTATAGGTATTTACCCAGAGTGATAAAATTTTACCCAATATTGAGGACATATATTTGATATATTTAGGGAGATAGGGCCGCTACAGTAACGTTACACAAAAAACCAAGAAGTGAATATATAAGGGTCAGAAATGAAGAGCAACGATATTTCCGCTATAAAATTATACTGTATAGTAACTTCCTTTACTACAGAGACAAGTAGTCAGCTTTACATGAATTCATACGAAACTGATTATTTGAGGGAGCTTTCAAGACCAGTTTGTGTTAAATACCCCATCATTATCTCTAAAGAGAGTTCGGGCTCTTTTCAGTTCTGTTAACTGCATGGCCCGTATTAATGAACACAAGCGAATAATCACAACTTAATAGATCATGCATACCGTTACGAAATATTCAAGGAACGCACCCTTTTTCAATGATGAATATTCTGACCTGTCTTCAGTCTTCAGTCATAAGGATAGAAGATCTGTCGACCTGTATTTATCCTCGTAGTTTGAAATACGGCGAAGTTCTAATCTCGTTTTTAATATATTAACAGAAGGTGTTGATATTACACGTCCTGGTAGAGAATTCCAGTAATTCACTACTCTGTGCTAGAAACGAGACTCCAGGCGTAGACGGTTTGATCTGTTTTACCCTAGCCTCAAATTTGAATTGCATGCGATGAGTTTTGGCATCCACGTCAGTCCACGTTCGAGTGCGCCCTTCAGCTCATCTCCTTCAGCAAATGGTCAGTCTGATTTACATTGATGCGGTATATAAATCCCAAAAATAAATAATTGTGAATGTCTTCGACAATAATACTCACCTCAGTAGTTTTACTGGACACACCCCAGCTGAAGGCTGGCGGTCACATATCCTCACCAGATCTCGAGAGCGTACATTGTGGTGTTTGAATGAACTGATGATTCCTTTGTACTTGTTGAAAGCTTGATTTCGAATTCTAAGAACAGTAAATTCGTTTGTGGTTATCTAGTACTTCTTAATCCGATTACGTTAATTCTGGGATTCTTAGTTCATACTATAATTCGAATACTCCTGATTTTCATATACATCGTGCTACACATCCCTTTCAACTACTAGTTAGTTTAGGACAAACGCTTCTCGGCATATCAACAGATTCCCAAATATGTCTTCAAACCTCTCTATGTCCGACTTCTGATTTGGCCAGTTTGGTGTGCCTTTGGTATGGTGTTACGCCTAAAGGCGTTGTCAAACTCCGAGTACCTGTTGGATCTTTAACATGTTGCTCGACTCATCGACCATTTTCCATATGTGTCTCCGGACCGTTTCACTTCCGTCTCGTGGTTTGAGGTAGTCGTAAATGAGTTTGGTTTCTGATTCCTATTTGAAAGTCTTTCTCGCTGACGTAGTGTATGCAATATTATATTTAGACCTAAAACTCACGAAATAAGAGATTTATGGATTCCTAGATATAATCGACGGACAAGAGTCAACCTAACTTCTCCATGACGTCAACAAGGTTTGGAGATAAATATGTTATCAACCTCGCAGTGATAACTAGCTGAGAGAAATTCGATGAAAGCCGTTTTGAAAACATTGTAGTGTCTAGTAATAACATACACACTTATGATCCATCTTGTCTTCTGAACAAGCTAAAATAACTCGTATCACTCAGGGCAGTGGCAGCTAAATGTATTTCAAAATATTATGTGCTTCTACGAAACGAACCAGAGTGGCATTTGTACGAACTATTGATTCATTTTTGCTTGTTGGCCCATTGATTTTGAATTCCAAATATATTACATTCATTTGTGCCCCTCTAGTTTGATTTGCCTTAAATTGCACTGTTTCAGGAATTCTGTGTCAGTACATTCTTTCAAATACTTCTAATTACTGCATTGGCTTCGCAATGGAGCCTGTAATTGGACAGCTGGATATACATGTAGTGGCATTGGACCATAACCACACAATCCTTAAAGCTATATACGAGATTACTCGGAAAATAGATATTCAATATTTAACGCGGAGAAATACCTAGCAATGGAGAAGGTGCGAACAATGAATTGAAGGAATTAGAGTTGATCAAACGGCATGGCTCGGTCATGCAGGCGTGTTCTCTGCTGAATGTTAACTTATATCTTCTATTCATATTAAATATATTGTTCTTTCTCTAGCCTAACCTTGTTCTACATCATGTATTGGTAATTGATACGATACAGTGAGTTGGTGTAGTCGATGGTGTGACTTCCACGTAAGATCTTACAGATTAGGCAGTTATATCATGACAAATCTACAGATTTAGGATTAAGTATATTATTAGAACAGTACTAATATCATAGTAGACCATAATTCTACATACATTCAAACTCTGAAGCTTTCGAAGATTAAATGGAAAGGTTTGGAATCTGGAGTATGAGCAGGAAGGATATTAAGGATGTTGTTCGTTTTTTCCCATTCATCGGGAATGATGACTAAAGCTGACTAAAATCGCTAGCATTCTTTGATAAGCCTATTTCACCTCCCTATGCGACTCCCAAAGAACTACTGCTCAGTCATGTGAAGTGCATTAATTTCGAATGCTATGAAAGAACAAAATTCCAGAAATGATTTATCAAGACGTCCAAAAGGTTGGAGACGTTTATTTTTGAATTGAAGAAACAGTCAGTCAAGTGTGATTTTGATGACCAACTTCAGGTGCATTTGCGTGGTGGGTTGTTTGCTGGGATAAATAATACGAATTAGTGACGAGAATTAATTCAGAAACCGAAGTAAAAAAGTATGTATTAAATATAACGCAGTCAATAAGCTTGATTTTCAGTCAGTGAAAATTTATAATACTTCGCACAGCATCGTGATGAACTGTACTCTCAGTATCATTCAATCTTATGCTTGTTCAGCGATGGTTCTCATCCTTGTGGAAATGTGAAAAATGATTTATCAAATAATTACAAGGCAGATTACACAGTTGATCACAGATTTGGTAAATGTTCATGCTGTGGTAAATTTCACTCACGTAACTCATAAATTTTTTCATGTCAAATGCTTTAATTGTGGTAAACAGAGACATATCAAGTCGGTCTGTAAATCTACTGTCGGCTTTTCTACTGGTGGTGTCGAATATTGTAGTTTCAGTTTTATTACGTTCAGTGCATCCAATGGTCGTTTATCTTTATCCACGATTTCGGAAGGTAATTTCCATAATGTGAAGCGATAATATACCTCTCTGTTACCATTCTACGACTCTATTGTTGACACGGGCAGTATAGAGTCATATATTCGTCCAGTCAAACGAATCTTCGTTAGCCTTGTATAACTCTGAAATTGAACGACCTTATATTTGAAGTGATATTTATTGAGTTGGCTGCTAAGCCGCAAAAGGCTTTGTTGGGCAGAATTCAAACGAACTAACAACAAAGGAGCGTACAAACAATAAAAACATATAGGGAACATATTCACAAAGGCTATGGGAAAAGACATGCTTCAGTACCAGACAAAGATTACGGATAAATTTGTCTCTAATCCGAAAAGCCTATTCCTTTATGCAGCCTTTCTTCGTCAAGCCAAAACTGGAGTTTCCCAAATATAATATAATATATTTCTGCATGTGCAGGTACACACCGTTTTTACAGGCATGATCTATAAATTACAACATTTGTTGGTTCACAAAATGTTTCCCAACTTATTAAATTTATAGTTGTTATAAAGTGAAATCGTAGAGCGCTTGCTCTAAAATATGACCTTGAGAGGACGCGTACATCAAGTTTGTTCCAAACGTCAGAAGTTTCATAGCTGTGCTCTCAGAGCGAGATTCTGAAGAAAAAAGAGAAACAGAAGAGCAGCAAGGCACTTGGATATGAACGCAAAACGTTGCTTAACATAGTGTAGTAGAACGGACAGGTATGATATATTAGAATAAATTCATATTATGTCTTGTTAGTGAAATGAAGTCAGAGGCTCCATATTATAGAATGTACTAATAAAGAACAACGAGTTGTGATGTTTAACAAGTTGGAGTAAGCTCACATGAAGGAAAGGAAGTCAAGGCTGTTACTAGGAAAGCGGTTTATAAGAAGGGTGTGTATATAGAGGGTGAAGTGTTAAGAATATTAACGACTACATCTTTTATTGTCTAACTTTTTTTCTTTTTTGTCTTTCCGATGCCAGCCACACAATCCTAGTGTAAAAATCCGAGTTAGCATGTTATGGGTTGTCCTAGTAGAATAGCTAGGTCCTAACGGCCCAACCAGTAACGACGGCGACGCCACTAACCTTTTGGCTGAACAATACTCTCGGACATTTCAACAGACACACATCAACTATACTGGGGACAGACTCATCTGAATTTGCGCAGGACTTTCCGAAGTGAACCTGGGCGCTGACTTGGTGTTCCGGAAACTGCAGCATCTAAGAAAAGACATTTCTTCTGGCTCAGATATGGTCCATTCTGCTATACTGAGGGAAGCAGCTTCAATCCTGGCAACGCCTCCTAGCGTAATGTTCTCACACTCTCTAAGCCGAGAAAAACTACCGCAAAATCGGATGCTGGCTCACATCGCACCAATTTTCAATGGAGGTCGACGCAGCAAACCTCCAAGTTACCGACCCGTGACTCTTCTCTCTATACCTTCAAAAATCATGGAGTCCCTTAAATGCGATGGTATACATGACTATTTACTGTCCTTAAATTTCCTCTCACCCCAACAGCATGGTTCCAGAAAGGGTCACTCTTGTATAACCAACCTGCTGACTGCGGTGGACAGATGGACATGCATCCTCGATCGCAAGGGGAAGATTGATGTCATTTACCATGATTTCCCGAAAGCTTTTGATAGGGTTAAGCATATATGTCTTATCAATAACTTAAAAGATTGGGTATCTGACCACCTCTAATTGATTGGCTCACTTCATACTTGAAAAATCGACATTTTAAGGTAGGTGTTAACTTCACTTTATCTCAGGCTATGGAATGTCCTAGTGGAGTCCCCCGGGGCTCAGTACTAGGACCCCTTCTCTTCGTGATCTACATAAGTGACCGTCCTCAACAGGTTACGTCAGACTTATTACTTTTTGCCGATGACGTGAAACTTTGGAGAGAGACATGCAACCAAGACGATATATGGGCACTTCAGGAGGATCTGACTTGACTTCAAAGTGTAAAGTAGTCCATATAGTATTTCCTCCCTCACTCCAAAAGAATAAGGATACTCTGGAGCGTATCCAACGATGAGCCACGAAGTCAGTCCAAGGACTCAAATTCAAACCTTAAGAAGAGCGCCTCCAATCACTTAACCTTTACCCATTAGAGTATAGGCATCATAGAGGTGATCATCTGATGGCTTACAGTATCCTTAACACTTCTGGACATCTTCTTAAACACCTACTTAAGCTTAGTCCCAATACTAAGTTAAGGGGTAACACCCAGAAATTGGAGACACAGCAAAGCAGAACAGATTGTGGACACAACTTTTACTTCTTAAGAGTTGTCAAATGCTGGAATTCGCTGCCGAGCGAGCTAGTCCAGGTGACTTCCCAGGAGTCCTTTAAGAGGCAATTTGATCTATTCTTAAGGTCTAAGGATATTATCATACAATGATTTACCAACTTCTGTTTCCTCTTTTATCGTTAATATACCTAGGTTCTTGCCTGGAGGTTTTAGTGATCCCCTGTTACTAGACACGGAAGCCTTTTAAGTGAAAGCTTCTTCTATTCCGTCCACAACCATTTGAACCATTTGAACTCTGTGTTCAAGGTTAACGATAGGATGTTCACAGACCATTATGGCTATCTGTACTAAGCTCAACGAATAAAAGAGTCAGAATGCGGGAAGCAGTTTAAGGCAATTCCAATGAAGTTTCTGCCAGTTCTCAGTCAGCCAAGAGCAGTGATTGCAGATAGATAGCTTTTCGGAAAGGAAAATAGCATAGCAAAACGCAAACAGGTTTTACATAACTATTGAGTCTTTTGAAGTATTTAACAGGTTGCTAAGTCTGGAAACTAAAAGTCTTCAACATAAAAGTCCTTTCACATGGACATACTACGTATGTGTCCAAATATTTATGTTATTAGCGAAGAGTAGAACGGGTGACTTTTTTGCAGTTGGTGATTCATTTACATAAAGTAAAAAGAGAAGAGGATCAAGGATTGTACTGTAGGGCCAGCGAATGATTTACCTAGGGCTTAGTGACACTTCGCTGGCCCTACAGTACCTTGGGTAATTTCACTTTTTACAGGATCAATCTGTAAACAACTACAAGTCATTCAAATACATGAACGAGAAATCATCATTTCAATCCAAGTTTTCATCATAAACAGGAATTAGGAGCAGTTCCCTAAGAACAAACTCTTAGCTAACTCTCTAATGCAAAGCTTATGTTTCGATAATGATATTAGAAGGCGAAGATTATCAGAACTATGTGATATATTAGCGCAATACATTTCGAACAATCTGGTCACACATATACTTGTTAAGAGCATTTATATATAAAAAGTAAAAGGTCAACTAGACAGGAAACTGGGTAAGAGGAGATAAGGATAATTATAAGAGTAATAATAATAATAATGTGAACACAATTTGAAACCTAATCACTCTGAATAATAAGTCAATATTACCAGGGTAGGTTTAAGGTAAGAACAAACTGTTTTTGAACACACAAAGGGGGTCTGAATTTTCGTATGGCTAAGGCTTATGGTTTGAAGTTACGTCCTAGTCTGGGCGCGGTGTTCGCCTGTTGTGTTGCTGCTTGTTTGTAAGTCCTTGGTATGAGTGTCCACTTCAAGGTTGGTTTTATGCTGACTCTGAATCAAGATGCCTCACCATTTAAATATTCAAAACAATTAAATGTGAACTAGCAAGTTGACGTCTTAAAGTGAATTAGACATAAACTGCATAATCTAATCCAAAGTTATATAACTTAACATGATATGCTTGTCACCTAAATTCCTCTGAAGTTTCTTGAGTGTATTACGTAAAGTGTACACAATAGATGTGTTGTGATGGTTTATATAACCTTTCTCTACAGACTTTCCGGACTTAAACGATATCCCCTCAAGTCCCTAAGTCTAACCAATAATTACAACAGTTGTATGCGTTCGGATAAAGCAAAACTCAACGAGTAAGAAATGCTTTAGTTAGATGAGTTTCGGCAGGTGGACTTGCGTTAGAGGGAACACAACAAGCTGTTACTAGGCACCTTTACTCAGCTAAAATGAAGTTTGTGCCCCTAGTTTTCATTAGGACACTAGTAGTAAAGATACAAATTCTGTTGACTCCTGAGTGGGTAAGTAAAGACATGGTAATAGTTTGTAAAGTTATTAGGTGTTTGGCTGGCCTGTATTAGAAGAAAATCTAGATCCCCTCACCTACATTTTACCATTTAATATCATATTTAAGCACGTTTTCGCGTGAGACCATATTTTATGGACGACCTTCGAGTGACGCGTAACTGATTTTGGGAGTGTTGACCAACTTACTAGGGTAAAATGAAGACCGTAAATTATTGCGAAGAATGAGGATTTACAATAGACGTTAGAAATTAAAATTACAGCTTTTGTCACGAATTAACGATCTGTAATGCTAACATGTTATTCTGTCATGTGGTTGCATAAATTTCATTCCAAGATCTGAGTCCTGCTATTTTCAGTCTGATTGGTTCGTCGATAACTTAGTATCGCCGCTTATAATACAATTTATTTTTCATTTGGCTTAACAGTTCATACACTCAACATCCCAAACAGTTTTAGGAGCTCACTTTAATGTGGAATATTAATGATACGTGTGAGGATGAACCAGTAAAAATACCAGTAAAGAATGAATAGTTATTTCCAGGTGGTGGCGTATCATTAGTTTGTTGAGGAGTATCAATAAACCTGATAATCTTCAAGCTTTTAGAACTCATAAGTGCAAAATACATCTACGTACTTAATGATCGATGCAACATTAGCTTGAATAATACATTTAAATTATAACATTAAGATAAACTTACCACTAAATTTAAACTCAGGTAAACCAGGCAAGATGTTGGCCTGGTTGTATGTGTGTTGGCTAAATAATTCTGTTACCAAATCCCAGAGGAAGGTTTTTCTTACGAGTTCCATCCTTTATCTATCTACCTAGATCCAGTGGTTCGAATCGAAACAGGTTTGGCATGTTTAAACTAATGTACTGGTGCTTGCGAATCAAATACATGGGAGTTTTAAGTATTCATAAGCAATTCTTGAACAGTTATGGTGAACGTTTCTTTCCGTCAGGAGTTAGCTCAAAATTCAAAGTGATAATTACGTTTTTGACTGGCAATCAATCGACTTTTTACAACGTCTAAATCAAAAGCACTAATACCATACATTAATTTCGTATTTTTTATTGTTTTAGTTCATAATTTTATTTTAACAGGAACTGTAATGACTGAGAACTATGAGTACATGCCGCGAGCGAGACAGGACCCTGATGTTGAATATCCTTTAACAATTAAGTATTGTGGTGGTTAGTGTTTTTGCTCACGAAATACTTTCATACAGAATGCACTATGCCTCTGGAGTATTGTGAATTTTCACCATTCCCTGAAAAATGTCGAGCATGGTTAGAGAAAAATTTACCTGAAGAGTTTGAACGACTTAATACTGGTACGTTTTCAATTTTCGTCGTATATTTACTTTAAAGATGATGTGGATTCAAATCAAAATGAGGCAACGCCTAAAGGACGTCAAGTTAGGGGTGGAAAAGGAGGACCTAAAAAGCCAGTAAAACAACAAATAGCAGTATTTAAAACTTCCAGAGGCAAGAAAAAATATACGACTAGTGTCACTGGATTGTCCACATTTGGTAGGCGCATATTTATATTTTATAGTGCACATATATGAGTAAACCATTACATCTGTGAGGGTATATCTACTTTGTATTTCGGACGCAAACATTAATTTCGTATTTAATTAAACAGTTTCTTATATTTCGGTTTTGTCGATGTGTGCATTGAAAAAGCGATGCTGAATAATATATAATGGTACTACAATCGTGATTTCAGCTATTACAAACACAATGTACAATGCTGGTCAAATGGTGCTGAAACAAGTCAAGACTAATTCAACTAATTTGTTGTAACTGTTGTTAATTTCTAAATTAGACGATACTCGGAGGAATAAGATATTCAGGTTATCAAAGTTAGTGAAATGAAACACTTTTGTCTAGGTGAAGTGTAAGACAATCAGTCAGGCAAAATTACTTAGAACGCAACCATTTAATATCAATGAGTACCTGAATGGTTAATGAATATCAAGTGAATTGATAACCTCTAACATAAAGCACATTTTCATTAATTACGATGATAATTCAAAACTTCTTAGCAATAAAATCACAGATTTTAGTACTTCTAATTTTTCTTTTGTCTTTCGAAATGACATCAGTCAATTAGCCGTTGACGTCACGGATAAGTAGGTATTTCAAAACTGTCGTTTTTAGTTTCGTGGCTATAGTGCTATTCTTGTAATAGGTAAGCTAGTATTTTGCGTAAACATATGAGTACTTTTATAACATCTGGGTTCGTGTCCCTATCAACATACAACGTAATGTTACCACCAATTAGAAAGCAATGAATTATCGATAGGACCAATGACGCATAAAACATGTACGAGCAGTCTAGAGTCCTTATCGGTCTTGCTTCCTGCCTAGCCCAACCTGTTAAGTTTAGAACACCAATCTCAGCCTCTGCGATATGAATTGTTTATTTCAAACATACTGGGTTTATATACCAACCAGACAGACCACATCGTATCATGAAATAGAAAATAACATTTGTACAAGATTTAACCAAAAGTAGTTGTGAATGTGGGAGATAATAACTGATAGACTGGGTATAACTCAAGAATGGTAAATCGTATAATAATAGTTTTGTAAGTACAAATAAAGTTTATAATAAGAGGAACATGAATATGCGTCGTTTAGCTTCTTAACAATAAGACAATAAAAATATACGTACAGTATTTATTCATAAATGGATCGCAAAAGTTACCATTCATTATTCTCATCAGGATATAACAAGTACAAACTTAAAAACAATGTGTAGTTGTTACCATTTACCTTTTCATTGAAAGAGTTAATATCGTCGGTCAGTACACTGATGTACAGCAAGAGTGATTAAAATACAGTTGATTTGTTGCTGGCTGATTTAAATATCCCATTTTTAACCACTGGGTTACATGTCCGAAACGTACATGTATTTTGGTTTCCGTGATCTTGGTAGTACCTCCTAATTTTACATTTTGGTTTGGAACTTGTGTAACCATGCGCCTAATTGCTTATCCAATCTAGTTATCCGGTCATTTACACATAATCTCACCCCGGGAGTTGTTCTCACTTTGCTACCAAATGCCCTGGTATGGCTGAGAGTGGGGAGGTTCAGCTCTCGAAATGTTCTCACATGGCCACGTGCATACAACCACTACCAGGGAAGTCCTACTCACTGCCTTCTCGCGGCGGGGGTGTTGCTTACGAAATTGAGAGGACGAAAAACGAATGTCCGGTGCTTTAACCGGTTTGGTGGACACAGAGTCCATCGAGGGGAGTTGTAAACCCCTTATTCCAAACCAATGGTGCACATGGGATCCAGGATCGTGAAAAAACAAATGGTGTATGAACCAATCGTTGGTCACTGGCCACCATGGGACTGCACCTCCTGACGTTGCTCTACTGCCTTGTGAATCAGATCTTTAGGTCAAAGGCTCGGGGTGTGGCCTCTTAAGAAAACCACCTACTTCGGTTTGGGCATCCGGGCAGTATCACAGCCCTCACACAAATCGGATGATTTATATGGCCCATATCTATTTGTTGCCTCATTGTACCAATGTTTATGTGTTTAAATAAATAACATTTATACGACTTGTTTCAAGACATAAGTACACCAAGTTACTACATCCTAAGTTTGACGGAAGTATTGTGGTTTCGCGTTTAATGATTTGAAAAAACGGTTGTTAAAATAAATAGAATGTTTTTGTCTTTCCAAATTTATTTCACTGGATTATACTTATAAATAACATCTTCAAACCGTAATGTTTCCGATTACTGCTTATACTCTTGTTATCTCTTCCACTATGGGATTTGAGTCGACAATTGTATCTCTGTGCTAATGTGGTATGGTAACTTGAACTGATGTACGTACGTACGTACGTACGTACGAAGTTCTAAGTTGTTGACTAAGTGACTAAGATGAAATACGATAATACGATGTGGCCGTGATAACTACTTACAATACCGTATTACTAACTAAAGCCTACAAATGAACTGATTTCAAAGACAAGGCACTATACAGAATAAAACATGTTTTATCGAATGAATTAACCTGAGTAGGAATTACTGACAGGAAAATGAGTTTCGTTAGAAGTCAGTTATAACTCAAGCCATAAGAAGATTTAGACTACGTAGATCACTCAAGCACCAAGGAGATTAAGACCTGACTATCAACCTTAATGATTGAAAATCTATATTGGATTCGTGAATAACTGATACCATATACTGCAATTTATTAATGGTACTGTTAAATCCAACTATTCACGGTAGAATACTAATATTCCGCTACCGACTTCGATCATTAGGCATCGATTGTAACTAAATAAAGCCACAGATCCTTATGCTTTACTATCAATCAAAACGAAAACAATCAAGAAATAGTAATTTTATGATGAATTAAAACACAACTCAATCGGTCTGTTTTTTCATAATTAAGGGATTGATCTGAAAGCAGCTTCGAAAGTATTTGGTCACAAATTTGCAACCGGTAGTTCAGTAACGGGGAATGGTGATGAAATTGTAATTCAAGGAGATGTAAAAGACGAGCTAATTAATGTATTAATAGAAAAATGGCCAGAAGTGAGTTACTTTTCTTATTCTGTTCGTCATTTCTTTCATGCTTATAGTGTATATTTTTCATTTTGTTTACATGCTTAAATTCTTAGCTGTCTTTGGTTTCAGTAATACAACTCTAATAATTATATGTATCAGAACTACATATGTCCGTTCGTTCAACAGCCTCGCTGCCTGAATTAACAAAGATTTGAGTTGTTGGAAATTATAATACACTGTTAAATGCATGGATTGCAATTTTCGGGTTCGGACGGTTAACAGTTGAAGAATAAGAATTTGAATAGATTATATAAATGATAAGTTTATCAACAGAATAATGATTATGGTTAAAGGGGAAAGACAAAAAGAGGCTGCCGATAAATAGAAGGTTGTTTTGTTCTATCGTAAATATGCAACCAGATAACTTTCTGGTTATTAATATCGTGAAATTCAGTATCTTTCTTACATAAATACCTAAAGTATGAAAAGGGATGATTATTCTCTTAGCTAATGGGATGTCTGCTTAAAGTATCAGTATTATGTAGTCATTTTAAAAGTGATGGTAGTTGAAGTTGTTACTTTGCCTTAAAGATTTTTACTATTGCCTACAAGGAATTCTAAACCATTATATTCTGTTAATTTTTTCAGTCATATGAGAAATTAATTTCATTAGGATTTTTCAAGCTTAGTGGTTAAATCATCCGACTTTTAACCACTAAGACAGTTCAGATGCCTCTCATCTAGTTCGAGTACACCAGTCGAACATTATTTCTACTTCTCACGTTAAGAATCTGTTTCAAGTTAGAATGAACGAACTAGTACTTGATAAATGAATTACATTAGGTTAAATTCATAGCAAACGATATACATCAAGGACAGGTGCTCATTGTTATTTATGAGTTTATATATAATGATGGTATTCCTTACTGACTGTTTTCAGTTAGAGCAATGTAGAAAAACAATTGAAAAAGACCCATACTATAATCGTACCCTTTAGTGACTTGTTTCGAGATGGAGTTATGAATTATTGGTGAGAAGTTATGACCGGTGGAATTCAAACATGTCGGG